GGCAGCATGCGTGAGGCAGGGACCCCGAGCTGAGACCACATGGTAGGAGGGGCGTGCTCAGGTCGTCTGTGAACAGAGACAGCGTGCTGGGGTCCAGGAGGGGTGCAGGGAAGGCCCTTCCACTCCTGGTGGCAAGGTGCTGGCAGCAGCTGACGACTGTCCCCTTGCCATCCTCTGTGATGTGTGGGCACAGTCTGACTTCCCCCAGAGCATCCGCAGAGGTAGCAGGCGGGGGGCCCGAGACACTTCACTTCAGTGTTCCCGCACATTCATTTATGATCCAGCGCTGCCGGGCAGCCAGAGGAAGACTGGAGCCTCCACCATCCCAGGCGGGGCAGAGAAGCCAGGTCTCACCCTCCACGTGCCACCTTCTGTTTGATGTACTGCTCGTTCCAGGTCACCTGCTCTTACCCAGACACTGATCGCCTTTTATTGACTGGCCTCAGCAGCACCTGCTTTATAAGGATCCTGACCCCATTGACCCAAAGTCAAGTTTCGCAGCTCACAGTCCCTGCCGTCCATGAGACAGACAGGAGCTCCCTGGGACAGACTGCTCCAGAGAGAGCGTGAGGCCCCAGGAGCTCGGAGGGTAGTAGACCTTCCAGATAAGCCCACAGTGTCTGATCAGCAGGGACGTCAACTAGGGACAAAGAGTGATGGAAAAGCATCCCAAATCGGCTTCTGTCAAAAGGGTTTTTTTTGGCTTCCATGCATGAAAAGCCAGGGGTATGTTTAACTTCAGGAGGTCCAGTTTGGTCAGGGCTCAAATCACATCAGCAGGACAGTTGCCTCCTTCTCCTCTCAGCTCCATGTCTAAGGATGGAGCTTAATCTCAGGTGCACTGTGTCCTCATCCTATACAGACCCCTGGGGGGTAAGGTCCAAGAAGAACAAGCCTCTTGTCTGGGACATGCTCTTGTCACAGCACCATTGGCTTTGACTGGATGCTTTGCCCTTCCCTGAACCAATCACTGTAGCCAAGGGAAATGGGAGGCCCTGACTGGCTTGTGCTTGGATTATGTCATTGCTGACTCTGGAACCGTGGGAGTGAGGCATCACTGAGACCACAGGACCAAGAACTAGGGGTGGAGTGAATGGCTGGTGGGAGACCAGTGATCAACAAACACCCATCAGGGGCAGAATAGCGGTGCAGTCAGTGATACCAGCATCCAAATCCAGACCCTGCCATGCCCAAGCCTCAGCTCTCACCAGTACCCTGGGGGTCATGATTGTCCTTGCCTTACAGGGTGTGCAGGGTGTAAGTGAGACCATGCTGGGTTACCAGAAACACTCCATGAGCGTTAACCCTTTTTTTGCCCACCACCCATCTGGCTGTGTGTCATGCTGTGGGGGCTTGC